ATACCGCGGCCCACGCAACCCTCCCTACGTCATACTACATGCAACAACCGCTGGCCCGCTACTCCACCCATCCTACAAATATCCCTAATATCCCCGACTCACTACCACTACCCCCCAGCTCTAAGTCCTACTCACAAATACCCACTCCGTGCTTTATACTCCATCCTCCGCTCCCCCGCATTATACTACCCCCACTGTGCGCCCCGCCGGCCTCCTTAGAGGCCGTCCTTTCACCCGCCAGGCGCTCGTTCTTCTTCTCCAGGGTGGGTGATGTACTCGGTGGCCTTGCTGAGGATGGGTGGCCTTCCTACTTAGCGCGCGGGCACGAGGCCGCCGAGCTCCTCGGCGACGGCGGCGTCGTCGTCGTGGTCGGCGGCCTCGGCCCCGGGCTGCTGGAGCTGCATGGCGCAGCGCAGCGCGGGCACGGCGTCGCGCAGGGCGAGGATCTTCTCGTTGATGTTGACGCGGTAGCGCTTCTCGATGAGGTTGTGCGGATTCTTGCTCGGGTCGGCGGCGCCGGCGTGCTTGGTGCGGCGTGCCGGGGGCTCCGGCGACGTCGAGCGGGACGAGGCCGAGTCGTCGCAGGTCGACGATTTGCGCTTGAGATCGGCGGGGCGGCGGGCGGGCGCGCGTTGGGCGGCGCGCTGCTGGCTGCGGGTCTGGACCTGTGCCGCGGGTGCCGTCGGTGTGGTCGAGGACTGAGACTGGGGCCGAGATTCCGTCAACCGCGTTATCCGGGACGTGGCGGGCACTGGCGGGTTGGCGATGGGCAGTGTTGTTGGGGCGGGAGCCGACTGGAAAAGGGGCTGGACATCGTTGAGATCACCGCCAAAGGCCACGCTTTCGGACATGAGATCCAAGGGGTTGGCGACTGGGCTGAGCGTGGGGTTCTGCGCGTCGACAAAGGCCTGAGAACCGCCAAAGGACTCGCCGTAGTAGATGTCGAGATCGGGAGACATGCCGCTCTTGTCGAGGTAGGCGGGCCAGTCAGAGTCGATGGGCAGCTGAAAGGCGTTGCCAAAGATGGGAGAGATGGGAGAGCCCCGTGAGGGCGCCGAGTCGGCGCTGAAGTCGGCCTGAGGGTCGTAGTATGAAAGTGGTGATACCTGTTGCGGGCTCTGTCGAGGTGTTAGCGGTGATGCTTGGTTCCGGCCGGCTTGACTACCTAGGCACTGTGGGTCACATGGCCTGATCAAGATATCCAAGGTGGGCGGTGGGAAGCCAGCAGGTGAGGTTCAGGGAAGGGCCAGAAGGTCAAGAGATAAGAAGACGGTTGTTACACACCATGTCAAGGCCGGTCTGGGGAAATTGGAGGTGGTCGAACGACTGCTGCTGTGCTATCGTGCTGTCCATGGCGGAATGGAGTAGTTGGGTGCTGAGAATACTGGGTGAAGATGTGTTTGTTGAGTGGGACGAGTCGACGTCAGATCAGAAGGTGAGAGCCAGTGGGACTAGTATCCTTGCTCAGCAGATGATGGTCAGGTTGACTATCTGGTGGTGTTATGTTTGTTGGGTTGCGTGGTTGTATGATCCGAAAGAATTGGAACGAAGTAAAGGTGGGATGGTGGGGAGATGGGCAGGCAGATATAAGTCAGACCCGGGCTAAGCCAGGGATGCATAAGGCAAAGACGGCCGAGAGGCACAAGGGAAAATGAAGAAAACCGCACGGAGTCTTGTCGGGGTCGGAGAGGTACGGGCGTGGGAACTGGCGATGAACGCTCGGGCAACATACGAGAGCTAAAGTGACAAGCGTCCGCGTGGGCTCGAAAAGTGACAGAAGAAAATGCGAACAGGCAGGACAAACGGCCGAGGCGGGCTTGGTACATGTGGTCCCCGGCAGGCCATTCATTTCTTGATCCATTTGTCAATTGGGCGGGGAGACCCTCCATTACCAGGCAACATAAGGCAGAGAAAGGTACATTCACAAGAAGACACTTTCGAGGGCGGGGCCTCGGAGGGGCCCGACATACAGTCGTAGCCGGAGCCAGACCTTGTCAAAGGAAAAAAAAAAACAAACAGCATGTCTCGTCTCGTGGTGCTGGCCCGTACCGTTAGGGATAAGGGAGGGGGGGGGGGGGTTGCCTCGCTTCGGGATTTGAACGGGGCCTGGTCGAGGCGTGGGACGTGGCAGCCGGCAACGTGCAGAAGCTTCAGATGCCGTACCTAGTTAGTTACCTTATTCGTTGGGGCAGGAAAACTACACCCCTTGACGTTTTCTCCCGTCGAGCGAAGCGGCACCACAAGCGCGGCGTGGCACGGCATGGACGGGGGCTCCAGCCTGGCGTCAGAGTTGGCGCCGCTGTGGTGCGCCCTCGACGCCTCGCCCTTATGCTGGCTCCCCTCGACCTGGCTGGCTGTAAGCAGCTGGACTGGACTGCACAGCGGGTACTGGCAGACAGACCAACCGACAAGACTAGCAGGGCAGGGCCTAGTCTTCCTTGGTTCTAGTGTAAGGCGTAGATGAAGCAGGGATCACGGAGTAGCGAAGCAGAAGACACGCTTGGAAGTAAGATCGTCTTCTGGTACCTATCTATTTTTCGTTCAGACCTGACAGGTGACAAACGAACAAGCCTCTCGGATGGGGGCATGGTCGTGCGTTTGGCACATCTCGATGGCGTCGATCATGCCAATTTGGGGGGGGGACACGGGCAAAGGTGAAAAGAAAAGTGAGGGGGATCTTCATGGCAAACGCTTCTAGGCACTCTTGGGTCCTGTAGGCGAGACAGACTCAGACTGGGACGACTCGCTTTGCATGCGAATCCGGGGAAGTGCCGCGGGTGATCCCCCAAAGCACCCCATCCGCTGACTCGACTCGTCTCTCCTCCTCGGGTTCGCAATCACATTGTCGAGTGAAGTAATTGATGGCAGCGAGCATTGTACAGTGGTCTCGGTGGTCCAGCATGCTCCTTAGTACATGGCGGAATTGACGGCGCGCTGCTGGAGGAGCATGCTTCCTCATTGAAATTGCTCATGTTTGTGCTCAAGCAGGAAGCCGAACAGTGTGTGTGACAAAAGCGCAGCAGACCTGGATCTAGCCCACCAGGTACCAGATGCGGCGGGTCAGACGGAAGCAAACCACGCAAAACCCAGAATAGACTCGAGATCTCGATCCAAAGAGGACCCTGTGATGTCACGCTCATGGAGTTTGATCAATGGTGGTAGGGCGAAGGAGAAGGGAAACAAGGTCCCTGCAGTACTCAACCGGCGCATCCAACGAGAGAATCGAAAGACCGCCCGTGGTGCGAGAACGGGACGAGCAGCACAAGCCGTTCGAGTGCGGAGGAAAATGGGCTGATGGAAGAACGTCTGGAACGAAGGCGAACAGCCCATTTCCGGCCACAATGGCACCATGCGTCTGCCCGATAAGCGACAAGTATCATAGCACTCTATTCGTGCGGCGGAGGTACTTCTCAGCTATCTCGGCGCGTTACCGGGACACCACCGAGCAACTCTGCCCCCAGTTCTTCCGTCATTTCCCGACATATTGATCATTTTCCCCCATCACCTCAATACCAAGACTTGATCAATGAAGAGTGAATCGAGCACGTAAGTTCATCAGACTTCTCTCGGTCCGCTCCGTGGAAATGGCCACACTGCCCCAAATTTGACCATGCTCGTGTCATGATCGCCAGACGCCTCCATCTCGGCCAGCATCACAGGGCGACCGTGTGCCGGCCACCACTCTTCGCCAGCTTCCGACGCTAAAAGGCCTCCGGGACCTCAGAATCATCCTCCCCGCGACCCGGCGGCCCACTTGCTGCTGGTCTTCCGTCCGCCCTCTTGCTTTCGGAGGGCCCCTTGCCGACGACCGAACACGATCACCCAAGCAAGGGCCTTTGGCACTTTTGCTGTTCACAAAGTTGTGGACTCAGAGATGAGAAGGAATCCTCACAGACTGTACCGCATTTTCTTACCATACCGACATCACCCAAGGTACACGCCACCCTCAACTCCTCCATGTGCTCCACAGCCTGAAAGACGCCGTCTCACGAGACACGCGATCCCTCCCAATCACACGACATATTCATGTCGCCGTGGCGCTTCACCGTACCGGACTGCCGGGTCGCTTTGGGTCTTTTGGTTGGGCCCCAGCGCTCATGCCGAGCCTGGACCTCAATCAACCTTCCGGCTCAGTACCGGATCGACACGTCGCCGACGGCGCTGTCACGTTGATCGTCATCGGCCTTTTTTTGCGTCTCGTCTAGTCGAACGCTGTGCCTTGACCGAGCGCGCGTCTGTCTTACCTGACCGGGGTTGACGGCACACAAAGGCCGCCATGTCGAGGCGTTCCGTCTCTTGCACTGACTTGACCCTCAGGGGCTTTAGACTTTATCCGACAAGTGTCACTTCGATCGCCATGTCTTCGGATGATGACTGAACAATTGGTGAACAATACTAGGCGTGCGCCACGTGTTTCATCAATAGGGCCTAGTAAACAGGAGATGCTGACTTTTGACTACCGTGGTCCGAATTACTGGTGTCCCTGATGTACGCTGAGAAGCCTCTTCCTGGCGAGATTATGACCGCCGAAAATACCCTTTTACCTGATTTCAGGAGAGCGATGGAAGGAGATGAAAACAAAAAGAACAAGAAAAGGAAAAGGATGAGGTAAAGAGAGACGGGAAAGCGATCAGAGATTGTCGCCTCCCTCACTGGTTGTAGTACAGATCCTGCTCTTCCTGCTTCTTCTGCAGCAGACCACCTTCGACGCCAAGATCGCCGCGAACGTGCTCCTTTCCAGCCCACAGCAGCTCTCTGTCGCGCAGAACCTCAGCCGTCCACGCCTGCGCCCGCGGCGTCCGAATGCGCCCGGCGACAGCAAAGAACTCGCCGAGGTCAACGGCGAGCTCGGCGTCGCGCTCGTACTCGAGGGCCTGCAGCATCATCTCGAGCTTGTCGAGGTCCTGGGCAAACTCGCCCTCGGGCGTCAGGCCGGCCTCGAACTCGATCCCAGAGGTGGTGGACCTCGCGGCCAAAGTCGCCCCAGTGCGTCGTCCATCCAGTGCATGGCCGCCTCCTCGCGGTGCGTCTTCTCCTCGCGCGAGACGCCGTCCTCCGGCGTTATGTCGCCCACGACCGTCTCGGCCAGGTCGTGCGCGAGGCACATCTTGATGACCTTGGCCTGGTCGAGGTCTTGCGGCGCCAGGAGCGCCATGAAGGTCATGCGGTGCGAATGGTCAGCGACTGACTCGGGGCTGCGTTTTTCGAGAGAAAAGGAGACAATGTCAGCTCACACGGGGCGCTCACGCAGGGCAAAGGGGGAGGGGTCAAGTACTGACTCGATGCCGAAGCGTTTCCAGCCTCGGCGTTGCAGCTTGTTGAGACGGCCTGCGAGGGAAAAGAACGAGAGGGGCGAGGTCGTGGCGTGGAATCCCGTCTTGGCGAGAGCGTCCTTGATAGTCCAGCCGCCGCTGAACTTGCGCGGCGGTGGGATGGGATCAAAGGCCATCATGCTGCGTCCTGTTGTCCTTGGTCTGGCCGTGCTGGATGTGGTGTTATATGAGTGCTGGGAGTGGTGCTAAATGGCTGCTGGATGTAGGCAACTAGGAACATTTCTTTTAGTCCCAAGTACCTAGGTAGCTGAGGTTAAGGAAGGTGAGGTTGCTCGGAGTCAAGTGGACCAGGTGATGCTGTGATAGTGGCGTAAGTGTCCATCGAGGCTGGAAGAGTCCGGTTACCCCGCTTTTGACAGCTCGGCCCGTGCCGTCATACAAAAAGCAGTGGCGAGTTCGGTTGAGTCCTGGCGCTTGCCCGCCCTGCTCGGTGGCAAGGCTCGAGGAGGTTATCTGGCCCAGCTGTAGGGATACATCGCTCACCGGTCAACACCCTATTTGTCCACGATCAGTCATCGTTTCGATCTCTGTTGGCATCTCTGACGTGCCTTTCAACTCTGTCATTATCAGGTTCAGGTCTTGCAATGCCATGTTGGGTGGATGCATCTGATCAGGTACAAAACAGGAACCTTTGGGCCTCGGCTTGCAGGGAGAAATTGTCAAAGACTCATGTTGGTCGTATCTTTGGATGATGAACATGCCATCCAAGATGGAAATGCTAAGCTGAAACACATACCGCAGGCGAGCTTCCTTGGTCGGCCCGAGCAATTCAGTAGGAGGAGACGAGCAACACTGCGTCGGGGGGTCAATTTTCAAAACGCTGCGAATGTGACCGTTTTTGGTCACCCAGTAATATGCTCGGACTCTGATTTGACCCCGTCTAGCTACTTTCAGCTGATAGCGGCCGCATCCATGCTGCCATTCAGGCTGAACGACACCAAGGTAACGCAGAGTCTCCATTTGCTGGCTGGTCTGGTGTCGATAAGAAGCCAATCGCAAGGACGGACAGGACACGGGAGGATAACGACTACGCTCAGCACGTCGTCAGCTCCTGTGACTAAAATGCAGCGGAGGATCCGGATCAAGCCCCCAATAAACGAACCAAAGAACATGAACAAACCAAAGTCACAACCGCTAGGCTCGTCATCCCCACATTGAATTTAAGCCGTGTACAGGTATTTCGGTCGGACTGGGTCCTGGAAATTCACTCGACCACAGCAACTCATTGCCTCCACTCTGGTTTGGACGACTATAAAGCTAGTCCGCACTATACAGGGCATATGTCCCATCCACCAATCCTAACAGGCGCATATGCTTGGTCAGGTATAACGATTGCACCAAGTTGAACCTGTTCATCCATATACGTAGCCCAAATCAACATTCGATCGACAGGATCCATTATCGCCAATACTCTGAATCTTCCCATAGGTTTCATATCACTCCACCCAGACGCAATCGTGAATTGGCCACACATTTGATGATCCCCTGAAGACTGTGATGCTGGAAGGCCATGGCCGGCGGTGGTGGTATACGTGCAATCGATAGGGGCACCAACTTGTGTATTGATGGAAAATTCAAATTTGCATTCGACATCGTCTGTATTGCAACGCCTTCTAAGAGATTGAATGATCCATTGCGGTTGAGTACTGGTCATAGAGGAGAGGTTATGAAATAGATTGGTAGACGCGACTTTCCAGGCTTTGGCCATAACCACAAGCAAGATTGAGAAGTTGCGTTGGAGCATTTCAACGAATGGATGAGATAAGATGCAGTAAAGGTGGATTGTCTAACGTAGGTAGATGACGACAATTTTGACAGATCTCCTCTTGAACGCAGGACTTTTCTATCGACTTACTGAGATCACATCCTGGTATTTATTCGTGAATGTCTATGAGATGCTCATATCTGATTCACTGCTGAATATAAGAAAAGATGATATCATTTCAAAAGAAGCTCTCACCGACATAAAGTATCAGATAGCTGTCCAAAGACTACACCAATCGATGGGTGTAGTATGAAACAAGCCGATCTGTTATCAAAAGGTTCTTTCACCGACACGTATAATTGGTGATATGTTCAGAAGGCTTTTAAAGACAGTTGGCGTAGCATGAGACACGCCGAGATGTCACTTGAATGCTTCCTCACCGACAATGACCCTGCGTCCGGTTTTAGGTTCAAGTTTCTTTTATCAAGTCCTACTACGAGACAGGCATTTTCATCATTGAGACTTTTTTTCACCGATACTTCACCAATTGAGTTATAGTAGATCAGGTTATCGATCTACGTTGCTGTCTCCAATCCGGAAATACTCAAGCACGGCTGGCTTTTAGCCCGTCCACGTTCCGCACAAGACTACATGGTATCTATCCTACAAGGCAAACGCATACACTGCAACAATGGCCAAAATCACCCCCCTGCATTATTACGATGACATTCCTCTATTCCATAAGTTTGCTATGACGTTACTCTTCATATACGACGATCGACTAGACCCCCGAAAGCTTCGAGAAAGCCTTGAAAGTCTTGTTCAACAAAATGGGTGGCAAAAGTTAGGTGCGCGGTTGCGTCGCAGTGTAAGCTCGCTTCAGAAACCGTATTGCAAGCTTTGTCATTGTCGCTCATGCACGTATTTAGCAATCGGGAGGCCTGGAGTATCATACACCGTCTGGTTTTGACGAACAATGCCCTGCCATTATGTTTCGGCTTGTCCAACATTCGTGCAATGTTTCTGATCACCCCAACGCTTCGAAGCTCCCTGTATCGAGCGATTGCCCGAGTGTTTCGGCCGACACAATCAGTTTCCGAAGCCTCGCTTTTCACCCAGAAACTCCCCGTCTGTTGCAAGACTACTTAGACGCAGATATACCGCAATTGGGTCTCTTCGTTAATTTGTTCGACGACGCCACACTTGTTTCCTTATCTTTTCCACACACTCTGTGCGACATGGTGGGGGCAGGAGTTCTCCTGAAAGGGTGGCAGGCTATGCTTGACAATCGACCAGAAGATCTGCCAGAACTTTGGGGACACAACTTCGACCCACTCGAACAATTCGGATCCCGCCCTCAAGAAGTTTACAAACTTCAAAACTACCAAGCCTCTACTTTCGAATTGATAACGCAATTTGGCTTGAGAAATGCTTCCGGCCTCCTCTTAGGCACAGATACCAGAAGCGTCTGCGTGCCTGCAGCTTTTATCGCTCGCATGAGAAACAGAATACTGGGTGAGCTGATCGCTCGTGACCCTAGCAACATCAAACCCTTTGTCAGCGACGGTGACGTCTTGTGCGAGTGGTGGAGTCGAGTTGTCTCCTCGCAGGTTGTCAGAAACAAGAAGAGTACTTTGGTGATCAACAACGCCATATCTTTGCGATCCGCTCTTTCCCAAGACTTGTTGCCGGCCGGGAAGAGTTACCTTTCCAACGCCATGGGGGTTGTCACAACCATTGTCCCCATGGGAGACGTGCTGGGTAGACCCCTGGGCTTGGTGGCAACTAGGATTCGTCAATCCCTTAAAGAACTTGGGAAGAGAGAACAACTAGAGGCCTATGCCTCCTTGATCCGGAAGTCGTCTCGGAAGCTCAATCCTGCGTTTGGAAAGGGAAACTTTCACGTCATCTCGTTTTCCAACTTTACCAAAGCGGACTTGTTTGGAACCGACTTTTCATCGGCCATTATATCCGAGTCTTCAGCGGCTAAGGGTACTGTGAAAGTTGGTCGACCAAGGTGCATCGAGTTCTGGGAAGGCTACAAGTTTCCGAACTCATTTTTCATCTTGGGGAAAGGCTCGAAGGGAGAATACTGGATTTCAGGAAACTTGCGTCGCAATGTCTGGGACAAGATTGAAGAAAGTCTAAAAACACAATCGGGCTTCTGATACTGGTAAGAGAAGCTACGCTTGAAACCGTTGCCTGAAGCCATTGCCTGGACTGCTCGCGGCTCTTGCATTGCTAGCTCAAGGCCGCTATGTTGAAGCCCTCGACTATTTAAAAAGTTCTCCACCCTGAGAACAAGGAAGTTCAAGTTCGCCGTTTCCTCGCCACGTGTCGCTTTGGCCCTGATGATTTTCATATCGCGACGGATTTTGACCCGACAACAATGGACTCCGCGATGCGATATGCTAGTGTACGAGGTAGCTATACGACCCCCGTCCACCTGCAACTTGCAGGAGGGCTCAACTGAAGTTTTTCGATTGGGCCCCGCATCTATCATGTAAAAGCTACATTCTCACAATGGAGTCATGCTATCTTCATTGCGGTCACGCGAGGTCGAAGCCGCTATCGCCCGCAACCATTCGGAGACTATTGATAGCTCTATTATTAATTAAATGAGTTAAATATTTAGAAATAGGACTAAATAACTAAATCTATCGATTTTGGCGGACTAAATAACTAAATCCAATACCTATATTTGACTTACTTAGTCGGGGTGTAGCGCTGCTTGCTAAGGTTTGGGGTGACGGCCTATAGCCTGCAGTAAGGACAACAAATCTCTAAATCCTGAGACATAAGGCTATAAAACATTTATGTTCCCGTACTTCCGCGCGAACAAGCCCAATGCCTTGATTGGGAAAATATACTTGTAGTTGGTGTAGGATATCATGCTGCCAGACGAGTCAGTAGGTATCATCGAGTGCGATCGTTGCAGACTCACCCAGATTTGTTGAAAACCCCCTCGAGGGCTTCCTGTGCCCATTGTCCGTCAGACTGTTGGCGTGCCATAATCATCCGTATGCCTCTTACTATGGGCTCCATGTCTGGGTACCCTGCCTGCATGAGCCCTATACAGGCCCAGGCAGTCTGCACGATTTGGGTGTCCTTATGATCAACATAAAAACCAAGCTCACAGCCCCGGAAGCTCTCGCCCCAGCCTCCATCTTCCCGCTGGTGAGCCAATAAGTACTCACAAGCGCAGCGAATGGATTCGCTGTTATGCCAGGTGTCGCCGACAGCCTCAAGCGCCTCAAGAGCAAACATGGTTCCGTAGGTGAAGCATATTCCCCAAGAGCCATACCAGCTGCCGTCATCCCGTTGAGCGGATCGGATAAACTTGATTGCTCGTTGGATAAAGTTTTCAATTTCAAGGGCTCGGTAAAATGGGTTGACCTTGCGGAATTTGTC